ATAACTTTGCGACATTGGCATCAGTAAGATAACAATACGCAACCAACTATATATATATATGTGTGTGTGTGTGTTCACCATTTGTGGACTCGTTGAAATAGTTTTGGCTTCTATTATTTACGTTGATGACGCTTGGGCACAAATACGTAACATTGCGTTTGTGAATTGCGCCAAACCCACACCTGATATTTAAAAAAAATATATTTTAAATTTCGAACATATTTATTTTAAAAATAACATTAGAATATCAAATGAGCTAACAGTCTATGCAATACAAATTGCAGACCACATCAAACAAAGAAAGACAGATACGTTGTTACACTTGATGAACAAGTTGAAATGCTACAGCCTATGGGTATACTGACTCTCTTAGCCTTCATATTGGGATACAGCAGTAAGTGCACCGCTACTTAGAGCCATAAATACGTGGCTAACCATACTGACTCTAAGGCAGAAAGAATTCTATATATATGATAGTGTTTATTAACAATGAAATCCAATACCACTATCAAATAATTATCCGTGAATGTCAAGTGTGTCTCCAGAGGTACACTGAAACAGAATATGGACGGCATCTTCCTGATAACAACTGCGGCTGCAAACCCGTCTTCAAAGCGTGGTAGTCTGTGGTGGCAACTATGGTAGATCTTCACTAAGAGGCAATTTATGGGGAAAGCATCTTTAGCAGTGGCCTTTTGATATGTTGTACTTGACTAATTATGAAATTCGTCAATAGCGACAAAAATATACCTCCAGCTTTTCTTTATAAGATAAAAATCTAACGTCATATAAAAAAAGAAGTAGCGTCTAGTGACAATGTAAATAACTGATGATCTTTTTGAAAGATTTATGTAATTGCTATTAAAATGTCTGCAAAGGAAAGATATAACGTAATAAATATTTCCTAACCTTGTAAAAGGACTCTTGCGATCATAATTTATGGCTTATTTCCGGTGGTATGGAGTAAATTTCTAATGCTTTTTAATGCGTTTGTTAAAACCTACTTCATTTTCAAGAACAGTTGCAATAAAGGGGTTTAAATATTTATATAAAAACAATTCCAGTCTATACCGTGGAGTGGCGGTGTAAGAATATCCACTATCCCATATCATCCCGCAGATGTCGCAATAGGTCTTCGTAATAACGATTAAAAATAAAAATAAACTGCGGTTGCCAACCCCCTTGCCAAACGTGCCACCTTTCTTTTATAGGATAAGGGTGACAAGCGAGCACACAGTCCACCTGAGGGTAAGTGGTTGCTGTGGCCCACAGACATTTGCAACTTATCTTCGTTTGCGAATCAAAATGCAGATGCGTTGTCAGCCGTGAGGACTAAGATGGAATGCCTCTTTTCAAGTAAAAAGGGTCTCCGGTTCTCTACACTCACCAAACAAAACACATCAGCGTTGAGCTGCTATTTTATGCTAGTATTCTTTGAGAGCGTGGTTCTTCCCCGATCGAGCCGACCAATTCGTGATACAACTATACAATTAATATGGCTGCAGCATGGCTCTACCACGTTAAAACAATCCTATATGTAACTATAGCAAATAACCGCCTTATGAGGCAATCTATGGGGGAGGCCTATGTTCAGTAACAGTAACGCTAAATAGTTATACTGCTCAACTAGTATCCTAGAAAATTTTTCTAGCATTTTGAACTCCAAATGAAAAATGTAAAGGTGTCTTGTCCAAAGATATATCATTCTATTATACAAGTCTTACAATGACCTTAATATTTGTTGCTTCATTATAATTATTTACTGCAAGAAATTTGACTATCTAATGTTCTATTCATGTTGCGCTGTGCTCGAAAAATAGTTTAGATAATTAAGAGCAACAACTGCAGCTCGGGATAATTACACGTTCGAGAAAATGACGAAATCATCACCTGTGTTCCTAATGTTTCTACAATATATGAAGGACTGTGGCAATGTCTCTAATGTACTTACTTTATTGCTTAAGTTCGTTAAATTTTTTGAATGTATTTCAGATATTCAAATAATAATCCTTATTTTTTTTATAAATACAGCGTTTTTTTTTTAAGAATAGGGGTAAAAATAAATAAGAATAAATAAATAAGAATAAGAATAAGGGTTTTTACTGGAAAGGAGGCATTCTATCTGAGTCCTCACGGGTGACAACGCATCTGCATTTTGATTTGTAATAGAGGATAGATGTAGATGTCTATGGGCCGCAACCACGTACCATCAGGTGGACTGTGTGATCGTTTGTCAATCTTATCCTAAAAAAAAATAGATATCTACGTCTATCTCCAATTACGAATCAATATTTACATGCGTTGTCACTCCTGAGGACTAGGATGGACATCCAGTGAATAGGCTCTCCGGTTCTCTGCACTCACCATACGAAACACAGCAGCATTAAGCTGCTATTTTGCGCTGGTATTCTGTGAGAGCGTGGTCCTTCCCCGGTCGAGCCGACCCATTCGTACTACAATTATACAATTAATATAGCTGCAGCAAGACTCTACCACATATATACATACATACATGTACTGTTTATTACTATTTATTAGTCCTCACGGCTGACAACGCATTTACATTTTTATTCGCAAACGAGGATAGATCTAGATGTTTATGGGCCACAGCAACCACTTACCATCGGGTGGACTATGTGCTCGTTTGTCACCCTTATCTTATAAAAAAAGTATACCGTAGGTACGTGACGCAATATCAAAGTGAAATATTATAGTAGTTTTTTTTTCTATTTACCGAGTAGCCCGCACGCAACCATGTATATTCAACTGTTAAATTTATAATGTTAAATTGGCTCACTTCCATTTTAACATCACTCATTTAAAAATTACATTTCTTGTTAACGTTGTATCAATTTCATATTCATTAACTAGCACGCAGAATGACATTTTATTACAATAGTACTCGTAAGTGACATTTTAAATAAATTGTAGAAAATGGCATACATTTTCTTGTATTGACCGTGTGGCGGCGCGGCGGTGAAAGGAAATCCATTAGTCCTTTGGTCCCTTGGGTCGATACCGACACGAAGATCTGTTTAACATATCGTAGTCGCCTTTTAACCGTAAATGTATCTTATGGCTCCCGGTATATAGTGGCATAACAATCTCGTTTACGCCAGGCTTAAAATACCCAAACCAGCGACGGAGAGCAGTGTCTTTCTTTTCTTCCTTTTTTTAAAACGTTACCTCCACACTAGGATTTTCTGTGTCGTGGGGGGCAGTTTACAGTTACATACATTTTACAAGGACAAACATCCAGACCCGAAACATTTTTTGTATAAAAATACTTGTTTCGTACGTGATTCGAAGCCGCGTCCACTAGTGTCGTAACTCATTGCTAAGCCACTGCGCCACGGAGCCGTCTGATACATCGATCGTCTATCCGCTTGCCAAGCGTGACGACCTTCCTACTATGGGAGAGGCCCGGTGATAGAATTTTACGTATCATTTAAATCAACTTAAGTTACAGTTATAAATCATAAGATATATAATGAAAAACTCATATTAAATATTTATGAACTTAAATTTGGCTTAAACAATTTTTGGCTATACAAATTTGTTAAAATACAAATTTCAAATTAACAGAGGTTTTCAGAGGTTTTTAAAAATGTAATCCCCAATTTGTTTCATAAAAATTTCAACTAGATCCGACGATAAACTAAGTTGGTTGCTTTTTTAATTATTCAATTATACGATGTTGTGTTGTTTTTTATGTTGTTGAAATCCAAAGTTGATGCAAGCAACGCAATAGCATCCTCTTGCATTTTGTACTACTTCTGCGCTCTGATTATTACGATTTGTTGGTTCGGTAATATTGCGTGTCACTGTTGTTAGATGAAAGTTTGTCGCTAGCCTTCAAAATTAATTTTTAGCTTTCAATACATGTTTATTTAAAATATTATTTAAATAAACAATACTTATCACCATAATAACAAAATAAAACTAAAATTTTATATCATTATACAGTCCTACTCACCGTCGTATAGTGTCAAGAACGCTGGCTGTGTTTCCTCACTGAATACTTAACATTTTAAGTGAGAAAGAAACCAGCCCTCTTATCATCAGCAGCGACGTCAAGTCGCAGGTTTATTTTCATAGGATAAGGGGGAAAAGTGAGCACACAGTCCATCTAAAGATAAGTGTTTGCTGAGGCCTATATATATCTACATCTAATGCAGAGGCGTTGTCAGCCGTGAGGAGTAGGATGGAATGCCTCTTTTCCAGTAAAAAGGGTCTCCGGTTTTCTACACTCACCATACGAAACACAGCAGTGTTAAGCTGCTATTCGCTAGTATTCTGTGAGAGCGTGTTCCATCCCCGATCGAGTCGACCCATTTGTGCTACAATTACGGGTATACAATTAATATAGCTGCAGCATGGCTCTACCACGGACATGTTTCCTTTAGGAACTTCCCTGTACGTGGACCCCACGGACCATTTACTTTTGTACTTTAATAAATTAACAAGCTTATACTTTTTGTCAAAATAGAGCTGATTAAAATAATTTGACAGCTCCGTGGTGCAGTGACTTAGCTTGAGTTGGGGCGTTGAAGGCCGCGGGTACGAATCCTGCACAGAGAAGTATTTGTATGGCCTACAAATAATAGTTGTATGTTTGTAAACTGCCTCCACGATATAGGAGAAAATCCTAGTGAATGTCAAAGTTATGTTGACCTTCACTTTGTAAGCTTCATGCAGTGCACAAAATGAAAAACAAAAATTAAAAAGAAAATAAATTTATTTAAAAAAACGCTTTTACGAATACTAGATACATCATAGTAAATAAGTATATTAACTGAGCATTAAACTTTGGTTGACGATGAAAAGCATTTGGTATTAGCTAAAACAATACCAAATATAACAATTATGGTAATAAAAGAAGCGACAGAGATAAACGCTGAAATACCCAATCAAGTTTTAAATGTCGTTGAATTGGGAGAGTGAAGACCTAACAATTTGAAACTTGACCGAGGTCCTAATTTTAATACGCTAAACTAAAATTAATCAATGACCAGTTGTCGGAATGAGCCGTCGATGCCAAAGAGCTCATCGTAATTCGTAGGCTTGCCCGGTCTGAGAGCCTCGTTTGCTTTGTATTGTTCTTGTTCCGCGAACCAGTCTTTGTATTCTTCTAACTTCTTCATCCAAGCATCTGAAAATTACGTATTGTACAATAAACGGGAAAAAGTGGCGTCAAATAAGACGGCTTTTCGTCTTGAACAAATATTGGTATAAACCAAATGTCTAATGTTAGGCGAAGTACTTTAATGGAATTATATATATTTTTTGTTATCATTTAAAAATAATTTTGCAATCAGTTTGCAATAAGTTTGCAAACAGTGTAGTGGCGGTGTAAGAATGATCACTGCCACATATAATTACGTGGGTGTCGTGAGAGGAGACAGAGGGAAACAAATCAGGAGACAGAAACAGCGTCTTCCTAATAACGAATAAAAAAAATTCGGTTGGCAACCCCCTTGCCAAGCGTGGTAATTATGACAAATATCCTCCTTGTAAGTCTATCTATGGGGGAGCCCTATGTTCAGCAGTGGTCTTTAATACCTGTAACGGTAACGGTAATCGTAACCAGTTTCCCAAGTTTATAGTAATATATAAACATTTTATGTCATGTTTTATGTCACATTTATCTATCATCATCATCATCATCATTACAGCCTTTCACAAGATCATTGCTGAACCAGACCAGGCCTCCCCCAAGGAAAGTCACAACACGGGCCTGAGCCACCTGTATCCATCGACTTATCTATCAATTGAATGATATTTTTAATTTCATTTTTATAACATAATTCAATAAGAATAACAATTGTGTTTACTTGAATCTCATTTTGAACTATAAGTTGATATTGAAAAACTAAGTAAATTTAATTTATGTTATGATACTAGTTTCTTAAAAATATATGGAAGTGCTAAGAGAAATCTTGGACATTATTGTAGGTATTAGAAGATATAAGAATATTTATTCTCTCATTTTGTACCCGTGGGTGTCGTAAGAGGCGACAGAAGGAAACTGTTAACTGTTAACAACTCAAAATAATAATAAATAGTGGTTGCCAGTTTGCCAAGCTTGGCAACTATGGCAAAATTCCCCCTAAGAGGCAAAATATGAGGGAGATCTAAGTTCAGCAGTGGACTTTTATAGGTTGTAATGGGTGATTTTCTGTGCGATGCATACCGTAATGACGTTAGACAACATTAAGATTAAAAATTAACTATAGTAGAAATATTGTAACAATATAAATACTTAATGTAAAAAATTACAAAACAGTTCTCTATTAGATAACTTAATTACACAGATCTAAATCAGAAAAAAAGGTCAATTAAAGTGACATAGCTAAGGATAAATAATGCGATTAGCTAATTATTATCTTTTAAATTAACATCAGGTTCATTCTAAAGTTTCTTATTTGCATACTTGATATTGAAAGGCAAAAGTTTTAATCAATCCGTTTTTTATAGAATAAGAGTGACAAAAGAGCACACAGTCCACCTGCATATGAATGCTGTAGCCAAAAACATCTATCCTCGATTAACAATTAAAACGCAAATGCGTTGTCACCCCTGAGCACCAAGATTCAATGTCTCGTTTCCAGTAAAAATGGTTTCTGGGTTTCTACACTCACCATACAAAACAACTCAGCACTAAGTTGCTATTTCAAGTTCTGCAACGATAATATAACTGCACTACTCTGCCACGTATAAAATGCTCGTTAAATATCATCATCATCATCATTATTACAGCTCTTAACAAACCCACCGCTGAACATAGGCCTCCCCCAAAGAATGCCACAAAGCACGAACCTGAGTCACCTCATTCATCGACTTTCTGCATATCTTACCAGTCGTCACTCCATCTAGCGGATTGCCGAAATAAGATTGCCTATCGGTACGAGGCTGCCACTCGAGAACCTTTCTAAAGAAAGTTTATCAGGTGTCGTTTCTAAATATATTTGAATGTTTCTGATTTAATACAAATTTTATGTTTAAAACAGTTTAGTTTACTTACTGTGTAGTTCGTCCATGGAACCGGCATTGCCACCATATTCAGTCGGTAGCATTTCTTTAGGAACGTACTTATAGAGATCATTGATGTCTGTGTGAAGGAAAATCTAAAAGAAATTTGGTTATCGTTATTTGTTTAAAGAAGTTATGAAACATTTTAAAACAACATCATATTTGATATAGTGCCACAAGTGTAGGACGATAAAAGGACAATAGTATTATGGTTTAGAATTCAAGGACGAAAAGTAAAAAGTCATGGGTGCGAATCTGCTAATTGACTACTGTCTTAAACCACAAACATTATGCTGCTTTGTTAGTGGTGTAACGGAAACGGGAATACTCCTGTACCCGTTACTTATACAAGTACTTATACAAGTAGTGTAAATATCATTACTGGTATTATTTATTAAAACGGCAGAAGTCTCCACTGATACCAATCTACCCATAGGAAATGGGTAACACATGCAACGTTTATGCGATAAGATCACCTCTGGGCTTTGTTGCGCCATTAAATACAAGGCCAATCGCTATACTGCCAGTTAAGAGAGTAGATAATTTTGGTCATTGTACAAAAATCGACTCCGACTATGAAAAAATTTAATCAAAGACTTCTCAGTAATTACTTAATGAATTTAAGATAATCTACAAGTGTCACCTCATTTCGTCTCGCGGGTATTATAAAAGGCGACTTAACGAAATGCCAGAAGTATCTTATAGCCTCCGGAAAAAAACCACCAATTTACACCAGACGTAAAACAAGCTGGCGACAAACAGCAGCGTCAAGATTAGACAGATTAAAGAATATCCAACGCATAGATATTTTTTTATAAAACGAAAGTGACATACGACCTTACGTCCACTTAACGGTATGTGGCTACTGCAGTCCATGGACACCTGCAGCTAACTTCAAGCAAGTAAGGCTACCGTGCGTTGTCACCTCTGAGGACCAAGATGGAATACGTTACAGCCTGTAGGTAATTATACTGACTCTCTATCTTTTCAGACAGGAACACAGCTGTCCAAGCACTGCTATCAAAAAGCAGAAATAGGTAGGTAGGTACCATTTCCACGTTACGTAGAAAAAGAGACTTAGTAACAGTACTAACTAAAAGTATGTAGTTAAAACTTAACGCAAGACTTACCCTTTCTCTGAGCTTTTCCTTAAGGAAAGGTTTGACGAAGTTTACAATCTTGTCTACAAGAGGCGAAACGTTGATAACGTGTACTTGCTTCAATTTCACGGGGTATGCCTCCTGTAAATAATAAAATATAGTTAATATTTGCATGTAGTGATTTTGCGGCAGCACTGTCGTCGCACCAAAAGTATAACACGCCGAAACTACACTCGTTTATATAACACTATCAAAGCTCCCCGGGCTGAATACCTGGCCTAGCGGGAGATCTCTCGTTTTCTAAATCTAATGCGATCTAACACGCAACATTGCAACCTTAACTTTAAAGAAACCTCAACTTCATGCTCTCGTCATCGTCCTCAAGTATCCCATCCATTCGCTCCTAAGCAGAAATTGTCTGCAGTCGTCATATCCAGCAAAACATCCACCTTTACAAATTTCATCGCAGCACAAATATCTTTTTATCATTAATTAAAAAATATCCAAATACTATTTAATGACATGGCATACACTGTGTACTGGCGGCGTAAGAGAATCAACTACCTCTTACTATCCCGTCGTGTCGAAGGAGGCGATAGAGGGAAACAAAACACGAATATGCAGTAGCTTCTTCCTGATAACGACTCAATAATAATAAAAAAACTGCGGTTGTAATGAATGAAATACTATTTATCAGAAATCTACGAGACTTGTTTTGACTTCACGCTGTCCAAAAAATTGTACACAATAGTAAACACAGGCCGTGCAAATGTTTTGGAGAACAGCATTATTTCTGTCATTGTCGCCTCCGTGGCGTAGGCTTGATAATGAGCTACGGCGCTAGGAGCCGCGGGCTTGAATCCTACAAAGAACAAGTTATTCGTATAACCTACAAGTAATTGTTTCGGATCTGGATGTTTTTTATTCTACAATTTACGTATTTACTAGTGTATTGACGGGGGTTACGCAATAAAAAATCTACCAAACAAAGATGCCCACGTCCAGTCCTAATAACTCATAGCGGACTAAAAGTAGTAGTATTATTATCAATTAATCTAAAATCTCATACATTCCACCGTCCTGAAAAGTCTTCTTCATTGTAAAACATACTTTAATAATGCTTAAGAAAGTAGGCAATTAATTAGCAACATTTTCCTGTTTGCCGTGGCACTATGGCATCAGCGTAATTGGGTTCCTATCCAAGTAATTAAATTTTGCTGTAAACTTGCTCGAGAATGCCTTATGTACAATGTTAATGCCTATAAGTACAACAACTCTATTAAAATAGTTATTCATTCATTAAAAATGTAATGTTGCACATAAGCTTATCCCGTAGATTGCTTCGTGGGTTGGCAACTACAGTTTTTTTATTATTTTTGGTTCGGTTAATGCTGTTACTTATGTCCTGGTTTGTTTCCCTATGTTGCCTCTTATGCCACCAACAGGATGGTATTGGATGTGGACATTTTTAGGTCGCAAATACACAGTGAAAAGAAAAAACTGTAGCAATGTTTTATTCCAAGAAAAATTTTTTGATCCGAATTTTTCCCTCTTGCTTTTCTTTTATACATTTTTCTTCCTCAGACATGCAAGTATGCTAGATTTTATTCTCAGAGCATGTAATCATCATTACAGCCCTTCACAAGTTCACTGCTGTACATAGGCCTCCCCCAAGGAATGCCACAAAGCATGGTCCTGAGCCACCTGCATCCATCGACTTCCTGCATGTCTTACCAGGTTGTCACTCCATCTAGCGGGGTTCGCCTTACACTTCGCCTATCGGTACGAGGCTGCCACTCGAGAACTTTTTATCCCCATCGGTTGTTACTTCTCCCAACGGATGGGTCCTAAGATGACCATGGACAAAAGAAAAATCTAAGGCTATGCTAGAGATTTCCTTGAGTGATAAACTTAAAAATGAGGATATCCGCAGTAGAACCAGAGTGACATAACCCAACGGATTAGTAAGCTGAAGTGGCAATGGGCCGACCATATACCTCGAAGAAGCAACAACCGATAGGGAAGAAAGGTTCTCGAGTGGCAACCTCGTACCGGCAGGCGAAGTGTAGGGCGTCCCTCCACTAGATGGAGTGACGACCCAGTAAGATATGCAGGAAGTCATTGGGTGCAGGTGGCTCGGAACCGTGCTTTGTGACATTCCTTGGGGGAGACCTTTTTTCAGCAGGGGCCTTGTGATGGGCTGTAATGATGATGATGATAACTTTTTCTTATTTATTAGCCTTTCTCAATCCACGCTTGTGTACACACTTTTTAAGAATGCATCGACCGGCAGTCATGGCTTTGGTTTATCCATATCTAAGCGCTAGCCAGGCTGGTTGGTGACGGCAGACCCGGCATCCTCGTACTAATAATAAGGTTTTCCATTACCAGTATGCGCAACTTCGGTCCGGTATTTTAGAGTGGAAATACTGCTTTTTGTCAGGCAACTGAGGCAGCACGGTGAGGGTGAAGTGGACTTTTGCAGAATAAGATTTTTCGGCCCTCATGCAGCCCGTTACATGTTAAAAATTAACATTAAAAAACTATGTTATAATGCTTGATCGTCCCGTTTTCTTATTTTTTTTTATAGGAATAGAGTGACAAATGAGCACACAGTCCACCTGATGGTAAGTGGTTGCTGTGGCCCATAGACATCTACATCTATCATCGTTTGAGAATTAAAATGCAGATGCACTGTTGGCCGTGAGGACTACAATAGAATGCCTCTGTTCCAGTAAAATAGGTCTCCGGTTCTCTACACTCACCATACGAAACACAGCAGTGTTAAGCTGCTATTTGACGCTGGTATTCTGTGAGAGCGTGGTCATTCCCCGGTCGAGCCGACCCATTCGTGCTACAACTATACTACTAATATAGCTGCAGCATGGCTCTACCACGTTGAAACATTGGTTGGTGTACTGTAGGTGTTGCTCTTGCACCTCTTGGTGACAGAGGAAAACAAACCAGGAGATCGGCAGCAGCGTCTCCTTAATAACAACTTAATAATAAAAAAAAATCTTCAATTGCCAACCCGCCTGCCAAGTGTGTCATGTAAGGAAAAAAATTCACCCTATGAAGCAATCCATAGGGGAAACCTAAGGTCAGCAGTGGACTCTTGTCAGCTGTAAAGGAAACGGCAATGCTTGTAAATTGTGAAAAGTGACTAACCTGTACACAGACAAAGAATTTCTTAACAAGCGCCGGAGTAAACTTGGCGAAGTGAGTGGGAGTGACAACGGACGCGTCCAAAATGTAAACATCGCCAGCTACTCCTTCCTTTTCTTCAAATAATCTGACGTCACCCATCATCAGGGCCAGCTTGAACGCATCCGCTACGATTGGCGTCTGACCATCTTTGTCCAGTCCTGTGTTTTGTAAAGAATTTTGTTAAAACTACAAATTTTTAAATATAATACTAGTTTATTTATATTGGAACGAAGTTCCTTATCGGACGGTACGGGTTTGGTGGATGGGAGCTAGGCGACAAAAAGTGTAAGATCTTTTCGTCACTTGGCGGCGAAATAAGGAAGTGAGATGGAATAATATCCATCTGCCTCGCACTTTTTCTTATCTTGCCATGAAAGAAATATTATTTTATTTCAAATGACGATTCATTTTAATAGACGTCTTTTTTTCAATTTGCCAATCAATAATATAATACCTACGTTAATCAATAATAATATATTACGCAAGGAACTTCGTTCCAATCGAGTGTTCCACGACACTCACGCATTTTTAATAATTTTAATAACTGTCGTGTCTTCCATATTTATCGACTAAAATCTGCAGTGTGATAATTTACAATTTCCGATTCGCATTAAAAAAAATTTGTGAAGTTGCAGGTATAAATCATAATATTAGGTACCTCTCATAACGACAACTCGTCTTCCGTCAGGTGTGAGACCAGGCAGCGGCGGAATTTGACTGTAAGTAAAAAAAGAAACCGTTACCAAGAATTTTAAAATAAAAAAATCTAAGATATACGTACAAAAAAGAATATAAGAGAAATCCAGTGGAATTGTGAACCTCATCTTTTTTATGTCGGCTAATCAACAGAATCCTACTCAACATTTTAACATTTTCAATTTTTTAGTTGTAGCCGACCCCGTCACTTAAAATATGTTACATGCCTAGAGCTTACTTTAAATGACATAATTAGAAATAGGAAAGAAAGAAAAAATACTCTTTTATTTGAACTATTAATAATTATTTCAACAAAAGCGACAATTTACTGTAATTATAGAATAAGATTGAGTGACGACCTGGCAATAGATGCAGGAAGTCGATGAATGTATGGCTCAGGTCAATGCTTTGTAGCATTGTTTGAGAGAGGTCTATGTTAAACAGTGCACTTATTAAGGTCTGCAATAATGATAATAATAAAGTCTATGATACAGAGAAACGTCGAGCATAGCTCTTTCCCTAGATTATGGAGCTATCTTGATGGTCCTTATACAGTGAAGGACCACGTCTCATAAAACACTCTTGTTATCACGTTTTGAGGTATACGTGATGTAGATGTGGCGTAATCGCTGCCCAATCGAGTTGGATCCGTCTATTGACCGCTCGGTGGAAATTGTACTTGTGCTAGGTATACATATTCGTCAAAAATTTCTAGCGTTGTGCTTCTAACAATATCGGCATAAGTGTAACGTAGACTTTGTCTTGTCTATGTTCATCTTAAAATCTATCCGTTAGGAATCGCTATTGGGGTTATTAAGCATTGTGCTCAGTTCCTCCAGCGATTCTGCAATAATGATTATATTGTCGGCACATCAAAGTTGAGTTATGTAATCGCCATTGATGTTGATATCGTATCTTTTCCAGTTTAGTAGCTTGAAAAAGTCTACCAATGCACCGTCGAAGAGTTTAAGGTATATAATGTCATCATTTCTTATACCTTACACCTTCTGCAGTTGGACAGGTTTCGTACTCTGGTTCTATGCTCAAATAGCTCTTTATTAAGTTGTTTATGAGATTTACGTCACGTAGTTACGTCAGACACAAAATATTAAGACTGGCAATGGGTGGCAGCGTTGAGACGTTGAGAATACTAGAGTATTACGATTGTCAGTACCGCTTAACAAGCGTGACCATAAAGGGAAATCTTCCCTAAAACGTAGAGGTAGTTAGTAGTATTAAATACAACTTTTATGAGTTCTTCGTCTAAGTGATATATAAACAAGTAAATTAATATTAAGTGCCTTTATCAATTTACTTGTGTCTCTGATTTAGTAATGCAATTGGGTATGTAGGCTTGAATGTGGTGTTATGAGATATGAGGTCAATTACGTCACATTCACATCCGAAAACCAAGCTTGCTTTTTGAAAAGTGTTTTGTAAAGTGACTAGAATTTAGATCCATACCCTCTGGATACCTACAGTCTGGCAACTTGACGATACCATTTACACCGTCGTCATAACATAAGACTCTCTATTATATTAACTTACACAACTTTAACAATTTCCTGCAGCTCAGGACGTGTGACGTCACGGTTTTCGAAAAATTCGGGAACTGCTGTTCGCATTGTGAAGTACATGTCCAGTTTACGCTTGGTCTTCTCTAAGGAGAACTTGCAGCCTCGTAGGAAAGTCATGATGCATTGGTCATCTGTCAAGATAAGAAAAATCATATACTTCTGTGTTTTAAAGGATAGTTAGTAAAGTGACACCTATATATGTCACAAGCCTTATCAGTGGAAACGACCTTCAGGTCCTTACAGGACCACCACACAAAGAGCGTGTGCCTACCCCAGTTGAAATGATACAAACATGCTACAGCCACAATAAGGCTGCAGCATGGCTCCAGCTTAAAATTATTTTCTGTACACGGCCAGATAGTAGTGTGATATAATAACAACAAAATACTTAAAAATTATTAGGTAAATAGGGACTATGCGCTTACCAATCTCATCAGGTAGATGTGGTTCTTGCTTAAGCCATTCTTTGATGTGTGCCAAATCTCGGGCATTGTTCTCTGGCTTCTCATTCAGCTCCTCGCGGATCTTCTGCCACATCTCTCCAGATGGCTGTTCCAAAGTCATTTTTGTATCGTTGATTGGCCCTGGAATGAACCATACAAGTGTTAATTATCGAAAGTTCTCATTATCAAGATAATTTTATTACCACGTTTTTGTTAAGTCACTTTTTTGTGTGTCTGTCGTTCCGGGTGGGATTTAGTAATTGATTTTAAACTAACTTCCCGATGAGCTGGGAACTTGAAATTTTGAATATAGTTCAAATTGGGATGACAATGCGAGAATATGATAAAAACAGTGCTAATTAAAAAAAAATATGAAAACTTTCTCTTGTTTCATTTTGAAAATTTGGTTTAAATTCGATAAACAACAAACAAACAACAAGAATATTTTTAAATTTGATAAGTAAAGCTACTATTTTATTATATTTTTTACGCGGTAGCTGCTATCATGCTGCAGCTTTAATATTGGTATAGTTGTAGCACAAACGGGTCCCCTCGATCGGGGAAGGACCACGCTCTTACAGATGTTGTGTTTCGTATGGTGAGTGTAGAGAACCGGAGATCCTTTTTACTGGAAACATCTTAGTTCTCACGGGTGACAACACCTCTGAATTTTGATTCGTAATCGAGGATAGATGTAGATGTCTATGGGCCACAGTAACCACTTACCATCAGATGGACTGAGTGCTCGTTTGTTACCCTTATCCAAATTACCATACAAAACACAGCAGCATTAAGTTGCTATTTTACGCTGGTAAACCGTTAACATGTTTTTCACCAGTCGATCGACCCATTCGTGCTAGAACTATAATATAGCTGGTTTTATAACGTGTAAAAGGTATGATGACTTTAGGTTAACCATAATGGATTAAATGTACTGATAGTCAGACGAGTGATCGCGGAAAGTCTGCGAAAATAGAACTCCAAGTCGATCTAGCGACTTGTAATGATTTTCTGTAAAAAGTCTCTATATATAAAAAAAAAAAATAATTGCTCTCCGTTGGTCTCGCTAAAATTCAAAAACGGCTCGACCTAATTTGGTGAAATTTTTAGTGTGTGAATGGGTCCCGAATGGACCCGGTAGGTGGCGCTGTTGTCGAGATCAAGAAACCGCCCGTGCGAAGCGAAGAAGTAATATATAAATATTTTTCTGGTATTTTCCAACATCCCTTATAACACCCACGGAACGAAATAGGTTCATGGATTCCCTTTACGCCGCCACCACACGTCAAGCGTGCTGATATAATGCAAAGATTATTTCGTTGGTATAACGCAATTCGTTGTTGACTATATCAAATTATATGGAACATGTTATGGTATAATGGTGGGGTTTCGAAATGCTTCTTTAACTATTACGCCTGTTGTTACGAAAAGATTTTCACGGTATTTGATTCTACGCGCATGCGTGAATTAATGTGCGTGTTGGCTGTACTGAGTTAAGTATAGGATGCTAGTAGTTTAACATATATGAATGTGGTTTCAATGTATCAGTGGTAAGAGTATATAATTGTTACGATAACCAATGAGGGAAACCACTAGTTTTTCTTTAATACAACTAATGGCAAAATATTCAAACTGGTGTCACTCTCACTTTGACTTAAAGTGATAGAGATAGCACGAGACTTAAAGACATCTTAAAGTTGAGTATTTGAGGTGGTAAACTTTGTAAGATGGGTGAGAAGTTCTATGTTATTATATTCTATAGTTTTGGCACTTTAACTTTTCTTGAGAAGGTTCCAATGGGATCGAGCTTCTATACGAGTCTTCTATTCTTTACGACTACCACACACGACATCGTGGATGTCTTACCAAGTCGCCTCTTCATCAGTGAGGGCTGCTCTACGCTTTCATTACCGGTACAAGGCTGTTATTCGAGAAACTTTTATCCCCATCGGATGTCGGTTCTTTGAGATATACGACCGACTTATTTCCACTTGAGCTTATTGAGTAGTTAGTCTAAGTTTACAACTCTAATTTTGCTGCGGATATCTTCATTATTTATTTTATCATGTAAAGAGACCCCGAGCATAACCCACTCCCCATAGAGCGATTTTGAATTCCCTCATAAGGTCACAATAGAAGGCATTCACTTGTCCTAATACAGTGGTGTTCGATGTAGTACTTATGAATATTATTAACTAGGATCTGACTACAGAGCTAGAAACGTCGGGGCAGTAACAGTACATACAATTTTTGCACCAAAATTGCATCAACTATGATAGATTCGAATCTCGAGTTCTGACTATTAAGTCACTCTGTCAGTTGCCACTGCAGTTGATTTATGATTTCACTAGGACTATGGGATGAATAATTCATAGAGCGCCTGTCAGTTTCTTAAACACAAATTCGCGAAAACTCAACTTGTCTCTACGTAATTCAAACATTTTGTTCCTTTAATTTCAAAGATTGTTTTCATTTTATTTATTTTTCTTTTTAATGTATCTTTTAACTTTTGTTATTAAATAAGGACTTTTATTAAAAATAAACTCAGATAGGCTTATAATTTAAAAAGTTATACTTCAAAAACTACCGTCGACTGTAATTTTACGACTGCTACATTTTCATGTATATAAGTAGGTTAAAATCGGATAATCACAAATATTTTCTTTAAAAAAAATAATGCGTTTTATGTCTATCGTTGTGGTGGATTATGTGGTTTCACATATCTTCTAAATAAGTTATATGTTTTCATGGAAAATCTACTGTGACAACAAACTAGCTCCGCGAGCAAACCGATCGCGATTCCATCAGATGAAATTCGTTAACTCTCTTATTATAGCTTATCAAATATCCACTGTTGAACGGAGCCCTTTCTAATAGAGTATATCATAGGGTTTGCCAAAGTTACCACGCTTGGCCTTTATTTCATTATTTTTATATTATTAAAGAAATACTGCTGTCCTTCATCAAGTTAAACATTTTTTCAAGTAGCCTCTCTATATTCAAAAAGTTAGTTCTAGGTGCAAGTTTGAGTACGGAATAATTTTGGATTAGTTTAGTTTTTTTATACTTATTTATTTATTATTACTTTTTAAATTAACATTAAACACTCACATTTACAAGTCGTGGCAGCCTGTAACTGAATCTGAACTTAGCTTAAATCTTAGATGATAGCTTAAGAATTTAATGTTTTTGGTGTAAGATTTGTTGGCTGTCCTTAATAAATAAATAAATACTAAAAGTGAGATCCCTTTTTCGCCTTTTATGACATCTACTGGTAGTGGATTATATTATGCCGCCAATACGTGGTCAGATGAAATTGTTAATCTCAATTGAAATAAAACTAGTTTTACGGATTTTATCGCGTATATTAACTTATTTTATATTCCCCAGGGAATATAAAATATAGGCTACATTAGATTTGATAGACCACAAATCCTCGCTAAAGAACACCGATTCCTTCCAAGGATGACATGCAAGGCTATTGAAATCACAAAAACATCCTAATTTCAATAGAGAAGATGGCTGGGTGTTACCATCTGCTTGGGATCACATAATTAATAAAATTTAATCCCAACCCAATCATAGAACTGCAAGACTGCAAGACTTCAAGATACTGTAAGTTCATACTGCGTAGATTGGAACAAAAATTAATAATTTTTATCTGGAGGTAGCCGTGGTTGGACATTGGGACGTCAAACACCTCAGTCCCTCCCCGTGACCATTGGGGCTGTAAAGTGCTCGAAACGTCGGGAATATAAAATAAGTGGTATACGCGATAAAATCCGTAAAACTAGTTTTATATCGTAAATATAACAAATCATTTGTTAATCTCAAATATAAATCCCAATTCATCACATGTACGTCGGTAAATGAATACATAGTGAGGAAACCAGCATATCTGAGACATAAAAACAATTCCTTTATCAGCTAACACACATTGAGACAGTGCGGCCGATTCCCTGCCTTAAAAACCCTCTCAGAAATAATAAGATTGCTGTGGCAAGCAATGCGACGTATGTTCAACTTTCGTTAAGAATAAAACGCGTCGAATTCTCTATTTATGTAGCGGAACGGTCTTCGTGCGGCGAAAAGAAAACGTTTTATTGCGTTTTCAGCAACAGGCAAGCTTTCACTACACTATTAAATAACGGTACCTTTCTAACGCGTTCACGTGACTGAGCTCGGGTTATTAAGGCGTAACTTTTGTGCTAAAAATTGGTGAACAACGTGTTTAATATGCTTTTTCGGACCCCGTTATTTTTAAGAAAAAGATCGCTCAACATCAGACAAACGAGCACACAGTCCACCTGATGGTAAGTGGTTGCTGTAGCCCATAGACATCTACATCTATCTTCGTTTTGCGAACTAAGATAGAATGCATCGTTTCCAGAAAAAATGGTCTCCGGTTCTCTACATTCACCATACGAAACACAGCAGTATTAAGCTGCTATTTTACGCTGGTACTCTATGAGAGCGTGGTCCTTCCCCGGTCGAGCCTACCCATTCGTGCTACAACTATACTATTAATATAGCTGCAGCATGGTTCTACCACGTACAAAATTTTATGTTCAGTAGACTGCCTTGTTGTTCTAGTCGTCGTGGACGTGACTACTGGTAATGTGATCCCGATTTCAGAATTCGAGTAGGGCAAAAATTTGTGATTAGGTTTTTCTATTTAGAAATCCTTAGTAGCAGCATGGATTCAGGAATTTGGCGTGGTTTCATCTTGTGCCTCGGACATTATGTCAAGCCGTTAGTTCTGCGTCTGATATTATCGTATCGGATTGCCTTCCCATCAGGCTATAAGAATGAAGGAATAGAGAATGCACCTGTGATTGTGCACACACTCTTGCATTATAATCTCGTCCAATGTTGAAACTGTTCGCAGTGTCCAAATTCAGTCTTAAGGATATCACCATTATCTCCCAGTTTTCACATAGGTAGGGAAAATGATTATGTCCTTACTGGGGTGTGGTGACCGCTTAAGGAAGCCTACAATACATAAGTGGAAAACATTGGAAAGTCCTAATGGTCTTCGATAGATGGATGAAAATATATCATTCGGCAGATATAAAATATCCACACCTGTGAACTGGAGAAATTAACTATATATTTCATACC